CTGTGTATCAGATCCTGAAGTTAAAATACTCCGAATGCTAGGCCTTTTAAATAAAGTTTATTTTAAATTCAAGTGGTTGTACAGTTTAAATCATATGTATGCAGAACTCAGGATTCCCTGCCTTAGAAGTTTTGTCAATCTTCTTGTGTATTTTATGCTTATTTTTTTTTAGAAAATTCAGCAAAGAATGTAGCATTAAAAATCATAGAGTGTTTCTGTTAATGTTTTTAACTATTAAATTAGATTTGCAAAGACCAGCAGAAGGCAAAATTACTGTCTGAATGTGCTTATTCTGAAAGTATTGTATTAGATACACCAAAACTTTGGTTCTTAATCAAAGCGGCACAGACTTGGGACATTCAAGCTTTCATATGTACTAGGCAAAATGATGGTCTATCCAGACTCACCTTTCAGCTAACACACTTAGCATCAAGACACAGATGGATGGGAAAGATGACCCTGACCCACATAAGACCCACATTCCTGTGCAAGGATAGAAGCATGATAATCAGGAAATGATGGTTGTTAGTTACAGAAAATGCATTATTGTGAAAACCAGGGAAAAGTGCTTATGAGAGGAAGTGATTGGATTATGGGGAATGAGAGAATACGAATAGATCATTCCTACTGAGTAAATTGCTGTGATTTATAAGAGAAAGGGTATAGTGATATCTTGGCCCATTACTGACTAGATTCATTTCACAAACAATCCTAAATCAGAATGTGACAGTTTATGAGGAGGCAAACAAAATCTCCCAAAGATGCTTTTAAGTCCTTGTGCTTTCAAACTGGTATATTTCCTATTCCCCAGCCCCTTACCACTATCAGGCTATTTTACATTGATAATTGTAATTTGTATTACTCCTTCATTCCTTGTAGCAGATCACTATATCCTCTGGTAAAAGGTGTAATACTGGGTATATTTTATTTGGAATTTTAGGAATTATAATAAATGTCCAAAAGAAGTTATTAAAAAGATGTTGAAATGCTCTAAGTACATACTGTTTGAATAAGACTAAAATAACTAGATGTTGCTCTGTAGTAGGTGAGAATTTTATCTGAATCATTCTTTTAAATATCTATGATTAAATCTAACAAATATGTTTCATTGCTTCAGACATGATAAATGTATAGTTACATGTTATATGAATATATGTGTTAACATATGTTCTTTTATATATACTTACTTTCATTTTTAGTTTGTATTTAAGAGTTATAATGCTTCACACAGTGATAGTTCTAAGAAAACTTTTTCACAAACATATTCAACACAGGTGATAAAACAGGCAATTTAATCAGTGTAAAGTGATTATTTCTTTAAAAAAAAGAAAGAAAGGAAGGAAAACAACTTTGGGAAAAGTTCAAGAAATGACATTTAAAAGCTCAGCTAAGCTCAAGGCTATATACCTTGGTTTTTAGATGGAACATCATTGTATGAAACATAAAATATTTAGTAGTGTGGATGGTTAGATGTGTCATGAATGATCTTTGAATGTAATTTTTAGCTCTGCTTGGGAGATCAGACATTTCCTGATGATGGCTTTGATTGATATTATTAAAGGAATAATTATAGGATAGACATTTCACTGTGAAAGGCAAGCGTTCAAGTCGAAACTGAAGTTCTGCATGCAGGTGCACAGACACAGTTGCAGGCTAAAGCTTTCCTTGAGTAATTGTTCTGGATCCAACCTCAGTTACACTCAACAGATTCACCTTTCAAAGCTTAGAAAATGTGGGCATAGTCCCCTGAAAATATTTCCAAACACAACCTACAGTCAGTATACGTAGCAAAAGAACACTCATCGACTTTCTTAGTAAAAAAAAAAAAAAAAAAAAAAAAAAAAAGTTCTCAGCAAGTTGTTTATGATTTCTGTACAAAATTAAGGGGAAACTCACTTGCTTGTTAAAACAAGTTGGGTTTTTGGATTGTAATCCCAACAACCCTGAGTTTGTGTACTGTATAGGGGTACATTAAAGAAATACATTCTGCAGATTATTTATCCTCTTTGGGTCTAATTAATTTTGACCCCTCTTTGATATGTGTTAGATACTAACTACCACAATGCATCATAGATTTTTCTAGCTCAGAACAATAAATAATCGTATTTATCTTTTTGTCCACGGTAGTCATTATTACAAAGATTGTAGTGTGGTAGCCTTCAAAGGCCTTAGGCAATCTGTCCTTCATTGCCTCTGTGACTCTACCATTTATTACATAAACTAAATTACTATGTATTTGCATTTGAGCCCTATTCATGGAATATATTAATGTTGTAATTATATTTCATGAGTTAGGAACCTGCATTCCATACATAACAGCGTCTCTCTGGGAGATATGTTCTAAATATTAATCATTTATTTGTGAAGATTATCACTACTATTAACCTCTCTCTTAGCTTGTTTTCTGCTTCTACAACAACGTATTGGAGACTGGGTAATTTATAAAGAGTAGAAATCCATTTGCCCACCATTCTGGAAGCTGGGAAGTCCCAGGTCAAGGCATCAACAGGTTTGGTGGTCTGGCGAGAATTATATTCTTTGGAAGATGCTACATCACATTCTCACATGGTGAAAGGGTGAAAGGCTAAGTAACTGAATGCTTTGTGAAACCTCCTTGCTCAGGACTTTAATCCCATTCATGGGAGAAGGAGCCCTTGTGATATAATTATTCTTAAAAGCCCCCCTTCTTAATGCCACAATGGTAGATTTTAACATTTAAGTTTTGAAAGGAACACTTTCGAACTATGGCAACATCTTGAATACCTATATGGTATTAAAATCTACTGGCTGTTTTCATAGCATGTGAGTATATGCCAGACATTTCGTATTACTCCACTTTGTAAGGAATTATCTGGAAAAAAAATTTTTTTTAAATTCCTAGTCCATCCTAATCTTGTTTTCTTAGTTCTATGCTCAGCCTTCCATTTGTTAGGTCGGCATCTCAGTTCTCTTGGCTTCCTTAGATTCTGTAGGTGCAAACCCAAATTTCTCATTTCCTTCCATTGTCTTACTCCACCAAATCTCTGTATGTTCTTGAATGTGCCGTTGTAAACTGTCAGCATCTTCCCAGTGTTAATACATGAGTTAGCTTTTGCCACTTTCTCAATCTTGATTTGCACCCACATCTAGTTAGCCCCTGGGATATTTTAATCATGCTTTCTACAGGAGTGTAGGTTTCATCTTTTCTTATATATACCAGCTGTCACTATTCTAATTTAGGGTCTCACTCACATCTATTTTTTTGGAAATACCTATCTGCACTCACTACAAACCAGAGTACTTACCTTTTTTTCACAGGAACTGAAGAGGTTTTTGGTAAATAATTGGAATAATATTTCCTTTCTCAGGACTTTAGTGCCATATTACTATTTAAAGAATAAACCCCCAAATCTTTAACATGATAATCAAGGGCTCTATAAAGGCATTAGCCTTTCTGAGTTACTATTTGTTGGCTATTCCTGCTTATTCCTACATGAACACTGCTCTCTCTGTGATATCTCTATTCCCTGAATGTGGGAATTCTGAATCTTCTCTGTACTGCGGATCTCTGCTGAAGTTTACGGATGTCCTCAAAGAGTAATATATTTGAATGTGTAAGATAATGAATGTAATATTATTAAGGAAATCAGTTCTACAATACAGTCACTCTGTCTGTGAATCTGTTGATTATGAGTTTGTAGCTTTATTATGGCCTCCTTAGAGCAGAAGTACCCCAACTCCATTCTTCTTATTATTAAAATCTTCATTTCCAAAGCCTATAACGGTTCTCAGGGTTTTTTTTTCTGAAGTTTTCCCTTCATTCCTGCCCATCTGCTCATCACTTTGTCTTTTTTCCCTTTCATAGTAAATTATTTGCATTTCTAGTTAATCCTTATCTTTGCTCTGCCCTATATACTTTATCAGTTTACAATAATGTCCTAAGCATTGAAATAGCCACTTTCACTTATTTTGTCTTCATAATTAAAAAAAAACTATAAAATATGTATATGATGGGGAAAATGAGGTTCAGGATTTTTTTTTTGTTGTACAGCAATCATACATTTTGTTCTCTCTACATTATAAGTATTTAAGCAAAGGAATGTTTTTTCTTCCTGTTACATATTTTCAGGGTCTGTTATAAGTTCAGTCATGTTTCTTATGTGGATCTGAAAATGATAAATGTTGGAAAATACTTTGTCTGTCCCTATTGATTATTACTAGAGTTGACTATGAGCCCTCAAAGGTAGAGATGGCAAAACAACATTCCTAGGTTAATGTCTATGTCAGATTAACTGTGACCAAAGCCACCCTAGCACACTCGTAACCCTTCTAATTTCTAGTGACTTCACAAACTAAAATTGCTCATAAGAGCTTTCGGTGCTAATTTCTTGAAATACTGTGTGTCCCTTGTCTTACACTCACAAAAACTAAGAACTCAGAAAAAGAAGACAAATTTATGTTGACTTATAATGAAATAATGATATATTTGAAACTTACATTTTAATAATAGATAAGAGTAATTGGACAACTTATTTCCTATTCTACCTTCTCAATGTAACAAAACAAAAACCAATCCTGTTTACACTTGTAGGACAATACGTTTTAGCCATAATTCCTTATTCTACTTTGTATTTTGAACCATGCTCTTTGAGTAGTCAGAAGTGCTTCTCAAGAGTTTTCTTCAGACAACACTCCTAACTTATCTGTTTTTAAATATAATACTTATTCAAAATTATTTATTCTAGTAATGGTAGGTAATTTTTCTTTTCAAATATTATTTAAAGTTTAAATATTGTGTATTTGATTTTAATTAATTTCTCATGTGGAAGCTCTTGGTGCATAGTAACTAATTTTAAATCATTAGATCTTTTGACTTGCTAATGCCTATAGCAGGTTACGAAGTGTAAATTAATGTAAAATTGATTCATTTGTGACTAGCCATTTTTCATGATGTTTTGTGTTATTGTACTATAGCAAGTACAAACTAATGTAGCTGAGAAATTGTTTTTCTGATGTCACAGCTCCAGACGGTCCTCCTGAAAATGTGTATGTAGTAGCAACTTCACCTTTCAGCATCAACATCAGCTGGGGTGAGCCTGCTGTCATCACAGGACCCACATTCTACCTGATTGATGTCAAATCGGTGAGGCGTGGCTAAATATACAAGTTTTGGAACCAAACTGCTTGAATATGAGTCCTTGCTTTGTTAGGTCCTAGGCCACTTACTTCTCTGTGTTTATAGATTTATAGTTGCAAAATAAAGAATAATAATACCTGTACAAAGATTCTGTAAAGACTAAATCAGTTAATATGCATAAAAAACCATTTCCTGATGCAATAAATGAGAAATTTTACAAATGTGATTATTAGTATTATATTTATGCACAGGATATAGATGGAATATGTAAATACATGGTTAAATTGATGAGAATAATTAGATTCAAAATACATGGAAAAATTTATGATGGAAAGGAGCAGAAGCAGAAGGGAGAAAACATTAAAGGAACATGTCTCAGATAACATCAGGGCTAAATCTTGAAAAATGGTTGAAGCAAATCATGAAAAATGGAAAACAGAGGCATAATAGTTAGCCTCATTTAAGGAAAAGCAAGTAATGTAGGTTTCCCAAGTCTTACTGTTAACAAAGACGACTCACAGATGAAGCTAGATGGGTAGACCAATTGTGTTATTTATTACAGAATTTGAGTTTTATATTAAAGATGGCAGTTAAAAAATTAAAGCAACAAAATGATTTGAGTGCCTACTGTATAGGGTAGGTATGGGGTTGGGGTTTTAGCTCAGCGGTATAAGCACCTGCCTACTTGGATGCCTTGACATGAGGATACCCCATTAGTAGTACTACCTTTAGATCTAGAATTCATGAGACAAATTCTGCATTCACACATTTGCAAAGTGCTGCTATTTTGAAAACAGCTGATATTATAGGAGTAGATGGAATTAACTACGGAGCATGTAAACTAAGAGAACAAGAAGGTGTCATCCTGAAGGATGCAGCACCAAAATAAAAGTAACTGGAGCTCAGTTTAGAGTCAACAGGGAGGCAAAAAAAAAAAGTGGGCAGTAAAAGTCAAGTCCTTTCTATAAGGTGTGGTTCGCAGCAATGTCGATAAAGCAGAATTGTTAGCTGGGATAAGGGCTGTACATATTTCCTCTGCTTGGGATGTGCTTGGCCACATGATGATTCTCTTCTAGTGGCACCTGATGCATTCAGCTGGTTCACCTAGGGTGAATTCTTATTTTCTCTGCGTAGGTCTCCTCATATTTTGTAATTTTATTGTCTTCATATTATTTATTAAATGCAAATACTTCTGCCTCTCAATTGTTAGAGGAAACTGTAGGGGATTATGGATATGTTTATTGTCCCATTCATTTTTCAGTGTATGTTCATTTTAGAGTATATTTGTGCATATTTTAGTGCATTATTAACAAAAATTAAAGTAATTGCCTAGGATTAAAAGTTATGAAAGGGTAAAACTGTGCTTCATCAAATATCAGACTTTTTTGAGGAGGATAGTTTTCCCTTGGACTTTGGTTAAAAAAAAGAAAAACAAAATATTTGCAAAAATGATTTTATAATCCCATTCATGTAGCCCTCTTACCTGGCTTAAAAATGAGCAAGGAAAAAAAAAGATAAGAAAATAACTATCTAATTATATCTTGTCCCAAATTATGGGTACTAAGATAGAGAAGAAAAATAACTTCCTGTAGAATTAAGAGTTGGAATATAGCAGCATTGTAGGAGAAAAGAAAGATCATCATATAGAAAATTAAATGTGTTAGTTTAATACACAAATTTATCAAAACTCTTTCAGATCAGTGATAATAGTAATTTAAAGAGATTCTAGTAGTTTCCTTTAGAAACTTAAAGCAAAGGAGAGTCATTAAGTTTGACAATCCTAAATAAAAATACAAGGTCACAGATATCACCCTGGGTGATTCTACTGAAAATTAATGTATTTTGTGGTCTTTCGTTCATCTTTATCTTTATTCTTTCAGTTAAAAAGTGGTTGTGGAATATCTCGAGTTCACTAGGACAAGGAGAAAAACAGTTCTGCTTTCAAGTAGCCCACACTTTGGTGGGAAGTATGGGACTATAAGCAGCAAGTTATATAATATACAAGTCTTTTGGGGAAGACAAATTAACAAAATAATTAAAGTTTCTGTTACAGGGACATGGATATAGAGGAGATTTCACAGTTTAAATTTCTTCTTGGAGTTGAGGATTCAACAGGGTGCAAGTGATGAGACAGTTTGGTGGTGGAGTAGTGTCTTAGTTACTTTTCTCTATTTGCTGAGACAAAGTACCTGATGCCCGACATTAAAGGAGGAAATGTTTATGTGAAGGATTCAGTTGACAATCAGTTGGCTCCAAGGCCACCTTCAGAGCAGCAGTTCAAGGCAGCACGAGACAGCAAAAGCAACAAGAGCAAAAAAGATGGGGCAAGCCTCTTCTCCTCCCTTCTGTTGTAAGCAGGCTACCTGCCCTGGTGCAGCACTCACACCATCTCCCTGCCATCCCCTTGCATAGGATGATGATGTCTACCAAGTGAGGACCCTGGTCTCCTGCTGAGTCACTTAGTTAAACTTCTAAACTTCTCAGATTGACACAATGAATCAACCACTGCATGTAGGAAGAGATGAAAAATAGGAGTTGAGCAGAGAAATAATCAGTATCTAATTACTAACATTGTACATAATGTTACAGTTAAAATGTTAAACGATTTTATAATAATCATAGATGTTATAATATGAGCAAATCTGGAATCAGCTGAAGGCAAGTAAAGGGGCAAATGGCCTGGGGTTTTAGTCCTGGCTAAGCATACAATTGAGCATTAATAGCCAAGATTGAATAGGATTAGTGATGAAAAGATAATGAACTTTAGGGCGTGGTGGCACATGTCTGTAATCCCAGAATGTGGGAGGCTGAGACAGGAGGATCCTTGCAAGTTCAAAACCAGCCTGGGTTACAAAATGAACTCAAGGCCAGCCTGAACTGCATAGGGACCCTGTTTCAAAAAGGCAAAAAAAAAAAAAAAAAAAAAAAAAAAATCATGAACCTTTATTTACACTGATGTTGAAGAGCCAGAATTCCTTTTGGGTTTTATTGTTTTCAAAGATGTAGTAGAGCACATGCATGTCGTAGTTTTGTCCTTTGATATTTGTTACCTCTAGTTTCAATGTAAGATATGAAAATTGTTGTTTATAAATAAATATTATGGAAAATTTAGCATAATCTTGTTGTAGTGAAGACATATCTAGACTTCTGAAAGACTTTGATTTAAATCTCATCTCAGCTACCAGGTAGCTATCAAATCTTGAGAAAGTCACTTCAGCTCTATAAATTCAGAATTTAAATAGCTGTGGCACTCAGGCAAGCAACAGAAACCTGCAGGCAAGTAAAGTCAACTGAATGGGGCTGTGGTAATTGGGAGACTCATGCACATTAGAGAGGGTGGAGGTTACTCACTTTAGACAGTTTCATCCAGCATGTATGTGTACATTCTTAGGGAAAAAAATCAGAAGGTGATATTTTATATGATATTTAAATGTTGACATCTAGTTAAACGCATTCACATTTCCCACCACTGGATACGTATCTAACCCAATTCCTATGCTGTTTAGTTTTTATGCTATTTGAGAGAAATGAGACATCTCCTCCCCTCTTCACCTAATAGCAATGATCTATTTGACTGTAAAATTGGTATTATTTATTAATCTTTTGCTGTATGTCACATATTAACATCTTTAAGTTAAAAAAAACTCTTAGAAAAGATCATTAAAATAACACTGCATGATAACATCTTTTAAAATTACAAAGGGGGAACAAGATAAAAATGAACTTTAAACTTCTAACTGTATATAAAACTGGATATTGTTTAAATTCAAGTTTATAAGAATAGTGTACAAGACAGGGTTTTGAAATTTCGCATGGTTATCTCAAAAAAGTCTTCTTAGTGCTAGAACCTTTAGCTTTGTTTTAATGTTGTCTAAGGCAAATGGATGAGAACCTCCACCAAAAACATTATATTTGAACAAATAATACAACTACATGTACCAATGCTAAAGGTAGTCATTTGTGTATGTTACATAATTATGACATACACAATTAAATTGGTCCTTATCCATTGCAAGATACAGTGTTCGATCAGTTTTTCAAACCTCAATAATTACTAGAATTTTTAAATGGAGTTAAAAGACAGAAATATCAAAGTACATTACAGAAATAATTATGTTCTAAAAATTTCATTTTTGTCATAAACTGTACACATAATTTTATATAGCTGTATCTTTAGAATTATATAATGAGGCATCCTTCTTTTCATGGGTAATTGTTTTAAAAGTCAAAATCACTCTGACAGCTACTTTAGATCTAGATCTGTTCTTCATGTTTCTAACAAAATTCTATAAGTTGCTGTTATCACTCCAATTTTACATACACAAAAAATAAGACCCAGAGAACGGAGTGTAGTTCAGAGGATTTAAGTAACCAATTTGGGATGTGTATCTTGGGTGACTGGCTACCAAAACCTGAGTGTGTTCTTTTATAGACTATTGAAGAAGAAACTGTTTCATTGACTGCAAAAATTGCTTTTGCTTGTTTGTTTGATGGGTTGATTGACCATAGTTATTTAGGTCATTGTTTTCTTTCATTTTTAGGTATTGAAATAATTGCTCATTAATAAACTGTTATATAGCATTTTAGATTTCCAGGGCAATGTGATGATAAATAAATAAACTAGTAAATAAATACATAAATATTTATGTGGTTTTATATTACTATATTTTACTAACTTGGAACTCATGAGCTAACATTTAATTGTTAAATACTTTTTTGTAGGTAGATAATGATGAATTTAATATTTCTTTCATCAAGTCAAATGAAGAAAATAAAAGTATAGAAATTAAAGACCTAAAAATATTCACAAGATATTCTGTGATAATCACGGCATTTACTGGCAATGGTAGTACTGCATATATTGAAGGGAAGTCAAGTCCTGAATTCATTGTTACTACTTTAGAATCAGGTAAAGAGTATTTTTCATTATTTCTGACATACAGCTAAACTTAGCTGCTGTCTTTCTTACAGTTCCTCACATATACCCTAAAAAGAATATGTGTTAGATGTTTTTAAAGCATATAATAAAAGCATTCAATGGCACTTCAATGGACAAACATAAAGCTTTCTATTTACTTTTTTAAAGCAAAGAGGGATTGTGTAGACTGTTCAATATTTGTAAATTCAGGATCAAATTAAAGGTGCCCAGTTGTATTTTTCTGCACTAGTTAAGTCTTCTAAATGTTGTCTTGCCTGAGAAGTTATTTTTTACCAGTTTCTATAGCCAATAATGCTTTATCTAAAATTCTATTTTAATTATTTCTGCCCTATGAGTTGAATAAATGTTAAAATAATAATACTATGTTAATAAATAATATGGAATTGAAAATTAGAATCCAGGTCCTATTTACCCTAGTTGTTTTATTCACGTAGTCGAATGATGTGTTTTATTGTATAACTGTTTGACACATGTAAGAACCCATACAGAATTCCTCGAGTTCCTATGAACAGGGTCTGAATGAATAGTGGGATTGTAACTGATAGGAAGTAAACGTGGAAAGTCAGCCTCCCAGAGCTGGCTTGCCCTGTTCTCCTTCAGACTCCTGATGTTCTTTACCACCAGATATGGCATCGGAAAGAGCAGATGAAGGGTTGGGTTGCTATAGTTTATTTGTTGCTATCTGTGAGGTAAGTATAGGAGGTAAAACATATTTTTCAGCAACTATGTGATATTCTCTATTTGTTGTCTATGAAGCTGTGATTTCAAATTAAGAAGTAAACATTATCTTCAGCACCCTTAAATCCCACTTGCTTCTATTTTGCTGCCAAATATCATAGGTTATCTATTTTTATGTTGTATTTCTCCTTCATCCTACTTCTCTGTGAGAAGAGAACTGATAAATGTCTTCTCATTTACCAGAAAGCACTTGTCAAATTTTATGTCCCATCTTTTTGAGTGAGATAATAACTTCATATTTTTTTACTAAAACTCTAAGAATAGAATTTTCATGTAAACTCAAAAAGGTATTCTGGGGATATGTTCTTTCCAGCCTTGAGAGAATTCTTTTGCTTATCCAGCTTTTAAACTTGATTCTAAATTTAGAGAAACACTATAGATAAACTGAAAACATACTTCTTAAAATGTCAAAAATGTACAGCAACTGGTAAAAATACCTCTTTCAAACAAAAATAACCATTATTTTACCTATGCAGATTTCAACATAAAATGAGATATTTGGCAAAATAACATGTGTAGTTTCTTTTATTTAGAGTTTTTGGCTTGCCATAGGAGAGTATATATAAAGATGTTTGCAAGATAATGAAGATGAAGTATCTGAATTATTGGCAGCCAAATATTAATTCTTATTTATGGAAATTTTGGACTTAGCATAGAGGAATTTATTCATTTCAAGTTGATAGAAATAAATATACTCTAATTAATCTTTATATGAAGAACACTTACAAGATTCTCCTATACTTATAATTTATCTTCATTCATATCATTTTGTTTCATGATAATTTATTGGTGCTTAGCTAGTCATATTTTAAGCTATTTTTATCTAAAATAAGCTGGACTCAAAATTCAGCATTTAAAAGTTCAATTAGAAGATGGGCAAAGATATTTAACCATCAAAAAAACAAGCTTAGCAAAAAAAATACAACAATGCAATAAATTTTTCAAAACTACTGGCCATCAGGGAAATGCAAATTAAAATCATAATCAGATATAATTTTGCATCTTCTCAAATAGATAATATAATTTTGAAAATAATGGTAATACCAAATGTTGGCAGATATACACAGTACTAAACTGATAAATTGCTAATGAAATTGTAAAATGCTATAGTCACATAGGAAAATAATTCAACAGTCTTTTGTAAAACTAAACATGTATTTACCATGTGACTCAGCTATCACACTCTTGGGAAGTATCATAAAGAAGGTAAAACTCATGTTCATACAAACATCTTTGCATGAGCATTAAAACAAGATGTATTGCTTCTAATAAATTCTCTAAAAATTCAAATGTCTTCCTATAGTTAAACTAATGTGTCATATCCAGAAAATGTAACATCATTTTGTCATATCCATAAAATGTAACATTATTCACACTAAAAGATAACAAGCTATTAATACATACAACAATCCTCAAAGACACATTATGATACTGTTCTTTTAAAAAGGGACACAATTGTAGAAGTGGAGAAAAACAGGTGTTGTACAAGGCAATATATTGTCTAGTAAAAATACGAGGGAATGTTGGGAAGTAGTTTCTTTAGGACGACAGAACACTTTTGTAGCTTGTTTGTGGCAGTGATCACAGAAATCTATATATGGTATAAAATTGTATAGAACTATACCCACATAGACGGAAGTCAGAATAAGGTCTGTATTATAACTAAAAATACCATATGAATTTAAATTCCTTTGTTCTCTGTTGACCCACAGTGGTAGGAGACAGCACCACAGGAGAAAGGGGAAAGAAGTTTGCATAGGAATGTTTGTACTATTTTGGCCACTTGCTGGAAATCTGCATTATTTTACTTTTGATTGGTACATGATTGTAGTGCATAAGGTTTACACTGCTTGAGGGAAACTGGTACACACTTGTATATAATACATTTTAATTCCTTTTCCCATCCCCATTCCCTCGCTTCCATCCTTTCTCTATCCATCTCTCTAGCCTTTTCCTTTTTTTTTTTTAGTAAGTATTTGCGGTTATAATGTTTATACTCCTTTTGGTGTTTGTTTGTTTGTTTTGAGACAGGATCTCACTATGCAGTCCAGGCTGGCCTTGAACTCAGTATGTAATACAAATTGGCCTTGAATTTCCAAGGCTCCTCGCCTCAGCCTCCTGAGTGCTGGGATTACAAGCATGTGTGACCATGCCCAGTTCACTTCCTTTTTGAAATGAAAAACTTTGAAATCCCTCAAGAAATATATTCCATATCAAATTAAGTGCACATATAAGACAAAATAAGTAAACAAACAATCCAGTTGGATCACCTTTATGCTTTCTGTGAACAATAGATACCAACAATTTTCTGATGCATTGGCTAGCAACAGTTTCAACTATTTGTGTAGTACTCCTTAGAAACAGGATTTGAAGTAAATAAATTTTACATGATAAGCAAAAGAATACTTTTAAAAAATAATTTAATTGTAAATATTTCATTTTAGCCCCCAAGGATCCACCTAACAACATGACATTTCAGAAGATACCAGATGAAGTCACAAAATTTCAGTTAACGTTCCTTCCTCCTTCTCACCCTAATGGAAATATCCAAGTATACCAGGCATTGGTTTACCGAGAAGATGATCCCACTGCCATCCAGATTCACAACCTCAGTATTATCCAGAAAACGGACACGTCTGTCGTTGCACTGTTAGAAGGACTAAAAGGTGGACATACATACAATATCAGTGTAAGCATCCATGACTTTTAATTATGTATCTAAATTACAAACTTGGTTTACAAGGTTGGCATTTGTAAATACTCTACTTTGTGTAGATGACATAGATTATACTTGTGTAGAAATACATCATATTTCCTACTTCTTTTATGAGATTATTTTAAAATGTCAAAATTATTCTAAAGAATGAGATTTTCAATTTCCTGTTATAATAACACAAGCGCTATTAAAATATGTGGATAATCAAGTTTGCACACTAATAGTAGACATGTAAAAAAGGAAGAGTGAAAATGCTTATTAAAAAGCAGTATAAATGAAGTAACTGTCTAAAAGGAAGCTGTGTCACTATAAAATGAAAAACGTAGAAGCAAATTGCAAAAGCAAAAGGCAGAAATAACTGTATCTAGCATGAATATATGTGTGAATTCATATACATATGCAAAAGCATACACAAAATTTGTTTCATCGTGTTTCTTTTTGTGCATTTTCTATTTTCAAATGGAAGTATTTGCTTCAAAAATAATCTTATAAGAAGCATAGAGTTCGATCTAAATCTTCCAGTAACATGCCAATGAACCTTCCTACCAAGTCTATGATTATCAGAACATTGTTAACAAATATTATATATTCTTTCCTTTAGTTACCGCATATCTTTAGGTTGTCTAGCTTTTTGAGATTCCTTTTGTGTGCACACTAGGAGAATTGCTTTTGAGAAGACTATCTATCAAAGAAAGGCTAATGATTAAGAAGAAAAATTGATCTGGGTGCAAATTCTGGATTCTGTGACTAGGCAGCTTCATCAGGCCTGTGTGTCAGGTTTTTCTCTTGACAAATTGGTAATAGGAGCAGCAACTTCTCTGGAGGACTATTAGGAGGACTCAATGTTTATAGCTATTGTAGAGAGTGAATACTATATCAATTTTGGCTACTGTGCATAAGAGAAACTGACCATTGTGAATAAAAGAACAGTAAGAGATAAAAGTAAGAGAATAAGAAATAAACCACAGTGCAGATAATTTATAATTTAACAAAAATATTTCAATACCCTGTTTGCAGAATGTAATTTAGAGCATCCGTAACACCTTGAGGTTTATTAGAAATGTATAATGTTGGAACCTGTAGTGACTACTGATTCAACATCTGCCTACATTCATTTAGCAAGGTTTGCAAATGACATTGCACACTGCTATTCAAGGAATGCTATTCAACCTTCTCATCCATTATCTTGCTTAAATATTAGATTATATGTAAAGAAATAAAAGTAATGAGCCACCCATAATATCACTTTTCATTTTCAGTACTTCCTTTTTAGATCTAGAAGCATCAATAAACATTTCTTTTAATTATTTTAACTAATTTATGGGCTTGGTTTATTTACTATATCTATCACATTATATGGATTAGCATACTTTAATTCAGTAAAAAACATTTTTAAAATACAGATTATAAAGAATGGGTCACTAATGTATACAGCAAATGTTAATTACAGTATGATATAAGGTACTAGATTGTTTATCAAATGCAATTAAATTGGCCAGGGATGTAGTCTTTATTCTGATTAACAAGATGAAGTGAATGAAAGCAGAGTCTGTGTTTCTGAAACACAAAGTTAATCGAAAGGATTCACATTTGTGTAAATCACCCTCTCTATATAAACAGAAATGCTTTATGTGTATATGCTGCATTATGCAGGTTACAGCACCAGATACTTTGGGGCAGGGGTGAAGAAGGGCATGAAGGGCAACTTTCAGAGGGATGATTTAATACAGGAAAACTGGGAGGCAGAGGGAATAGGATTTCATCTCAGAAGCAAAAAAAGAGGGTCTTGAATATGGATTTAAAGGAGGCCAGAGTTATCTAGCTAAGAGAGAAGGAACAGATGTTATAATTAAATAAAGAGAGAGTGTAGATCCAGTGACTTCAGCTCTGTTCTTGTGCCATGATCGTTGGTCTCCAATAGGGCTGTTCAGGTTACTCAGTCATCGCTGTCAGAGCTTAGTACTAGAATATCATTTTTAATAAATAGTTGCTTGTAAATGTTATTCTTACATGCAGTGTATTCATTTAAGTGGGTACAAGAAAATATAATTAATAGACTGCATTGCAGGCATTAGTTTCTTTTCTTTTTTCCTTCCTTTCTTTCTTTCTTTCTTTCTCTCTCTCTCTCTCTCTCTCTCTCTCTCTCTCTCTCTCTCTCTCTTTCTTTCTTTCTTTCTTTCAATTTTCAGCACTGGAGATGAAAAACAGGACCTTCACAAAGCTACATCTCTAGGATTTTAAATTTTTTTTTTATACATGGCCTCATTAAGTCACTAAACTGTCCAGGATATACTTGAACTTGCATCACTCCTGCCTCAGCCTCCCGGAGTGCTAGGGTCATAGGTGAGGGCCAAAAGGATAACTAGGTAGTTGCTTTTAAGAAAAACTTAAGATTATATATAGTCATATTCAGTCATATGTACACATAAACAGGGACTTTAAAGCACTAACAAAATGTTTGTTTGTTCCAGGTTTATGCAATCAATAGTGCTGGTGCAGGGCCAAAAGTTCAGATGAGAATAACCATGGATATCAAAGGTACATACATGAGATGCCTACCAATAAAATGCTGTGTGCTTAATCAAAGAATGATTATAATTTAAATTCCATCCTAGAGTTAAGGATTTAGGCAAGCCTTTAAATGATGTAGATGCATATAATTAGCATATATTAAGTAATAATGTATGCTTATTAAAACTATGTTTAAGTGACTAAATTATTATGAAAACTGTCATGTTAAATAAAAGAATACCCTCTTTTTATCTTATATTTCTTTATTGTAAGCTTAAACTTTTATTTCTTTTTTTTCCCTCATAATGGGAGTGCAGAACACTTACATTGAACTACTACATATTTCATTATTTCTTATGTTGAGACAGAGCCTTGCCAAGTTGCCTAAAGACTTGTGTTGCTCCTGCCTTAGCCTCTCAGAGTACTGGAGTTACAAGCATTTGCCACCATGCTTGGCTCAAAGACAAATTTTATACCCTGGATTTTTTTTTAAAAAAAGAAAGCTTGTTTACATTACCTATGCTTACATTTCAACAAGGTCTATTTAGATTGCTTGACTATTTTAGAAGTCAATGTTTTTCAATTGATCAGTGTTTACTGATATTATACAATCAACTTTAAGATGCACACCGTATTTAAACCTGTCAATTCATTATTCTGACAGATATTATATATAGAAAATATAACTAAAATTTGCCTCCCCCCCAAAGTGACCTACAACCACTACAAAAGTAGGGCTGTTTGTACTTCTCTTCTGTAAATTCTGGTGACTTCCCTTCTGTAAATTTTGTTTTGCTTTGTTTGGGTTTAGTGTTTTATTTGCAGGGAGGGAGTCTTCAATTGTAATGGAACTCAGGGTTTTCATATTGATCTGCATACTCAGCCCTTTTTTTAAGTATTGAAGCTGGGTATTTCTCAGTGTTTAAATTTCCCAGGCTGGCCTTGAACTCACTATCTTCATGCTTCAGCCTCTCAGAGTGTTGAGAGTACAGACGTGCACCACCTTGTCCAGCTCTTTGTAGACTGAAATCATGCAACTGATTATTTTATCTCTCTAAAAATATTTAGTATAACTTTCAGGGAAATAACAATAAAACTGAAATGTCTGGGCCATTTTTAGAATGTCACCTATTACCCTTTCTTTCTAAAGGGAAAATTAACTTTTCTCCTTTTATACAAAATCATTAGGCTGGGTTAAGATTAAATTCTTGACATTGAATCCTAGATTGCCTACTGTATAATTACTTGACTTGGAGAGAGTTTCAAAACCTCCGTAGGCCTGCAAAACGAACTAATTCTGCTTATAAGTTATGAAGATTAAAAGATATCATCTTAAAAAATTGTAAGACAGCACCTAGGACTTACGCTATTAAGAAATACACAGTTACGTGAAAGAAGGAGTTTTATTTTTCCACTAGTGGATAATTAATAGAGCTTTAACTCTATAAATATTAGTTATTTGATTTTAATTGTTAACTTCTCTACTTTGAGATGTACAAATGCATAAAATCTTCAAACCATCCATTAAATGACCTCAAAGACTACAAAGAAATGTGTAAATCACACCATATTAATTTTCTTTGTTATTCTGTGGTAGACATAATTGCAATGTAATAGCTAAAAGGAATAAAAGAAAAACTTTATATTAAAATGTTAGTTAAATGTAAATATTTCATGCATTTATAAAAATCTTTATGAATGAGGACATATATATAAAAACCTACCATGCTCTTGCTCTTGTGTTTCCATTGGCTCTATCATGTTGTACCTTATTGGATTATATTATGTGTGAAAGTATAAACAAATTTCCTATGGAAAATGAGATAATATAGTAGCCATTGTTTGTTTTCTGTTATTTGGTTCTGAAAACCCTGTAATACTCTCATTCTCTTGAATGTTTTTATACTATTTTGTTATGTTTGAAACTATTGTATATGAAGTGATACTCAACTATTTCAAAGAAAGAGACATCGTGGTAGTTACTGTTAATTATGGGTTGTCTTCTGGTGAAATACTGTTTTGCTTACATTGCTCTGTTCTGATCCACTCTGTTATGTTCTGTTTTGTCTTACTGTCTTTAAAATAAAAAAAAAAGAAACTGAATTTTTTGTCAAATAAAAAGGAGTTGGATACCTGAAAAACATACTTGGGTGGCATTTTTGCAGGTAAATCTAAAGTACATAGTTTACCATAGTTTCATGTGTTAATATTTACTGAAGATCTGCTGTGTCCAAACATTTCTGTGTTTCATCTGTTACTTATGTTTGTCATCACTTACATTTATTAATTGTTATTATGAAATGAAACTTTGAATATATTTTTACTATTGAGGAACCAAAAATCAGTAATAGCAATGTTTCTCACATTACAGCTCCAGCACGGCCAAAAACCAAGCCAATCCCTATTTATGATGCCACAGGAAAACTGCTTGTGACTTCCACAACAATTACAATCAGAATGCCAATATGTTACTACAATGATGATCATGGACCCATCAAAAATGTACAAGTGCTTGTGGCAGAAACAGGAGGTATCAAGACTCAATTAATGCTAATCTGTAGAATGTGACCTTCTGAAGACCAAAGAACTTTCAGTTCAAATTAATAAATTAAACTGACACTGATTATCACACAAATCTTGAGATTTCTAGATTGTCAATACTATTGTTTGTTACAGCAATCGTTTATTTATACCTAAAATATGAAAATGAGAAAAGGCATATTTAAATTATATGACTAATTTACTCCCCATGTTAGAAAGATTGTTTTGATTTTGACAAGATGGAGCCCTTATAGCTTCCTGGGAGGTATAAACAGATGATGACCCTGGGGAATGGTCTTTCTCCATCTAGGAAGTCATCCTTTACAATGCATAGATTTGGACATGATATAGAAGGACAGGGCTACCTATATCCAGGTAGGTCTGCTGAATTATCCCCCCTATGGTTCATGGAGTGACTGATGTTGCATCCAGATTCCTCTAATGCAGTTATAAAAACAGTCTTTATAAATGTAAAATCCATATATAAATCACTTATAATCTTTATTCTCTTTTTCCCCTGAAAATAGCTCAGAATGATGGAAATGTGACCAAGTGGTATGATGCATATTTTAATAAAGCAAGGCCATATTTTACAAATGAAGGCTTCCCTAATCCTCCATGTATAGAAGGAAAGACACAGTTCAGTGGCAATGAAGAAATCTATGTCATAGGTGCTGATAATGCATGTATGATTCCTGGTAATGAAGAAAAAATTTGCAATGGACCTCTGAAACCAAAAAAGCAGTATTTGTAAGTATGACAACCATGCACTGTGTTAGCTAGCTTGTAAATGTCTTTCAGTTATTCATCTAACTCATCATTTCGGTAGACATTGGACATCTATCATGTTTAGTAGCCCTAAAGTTTCAGGCACTAGGAATAAAAGGAAAACGAGATATTATCCTTCATTCTGTTAACACACAGCATTTAGGGGAAGCAGGCAAACCTACCAGAAATTATGATTTGATATGATATTATATGAGTGCAATATGAAAAATGAAATATTAAGGAATATAAGGAAGTAGGATAATATAATTTTCTCTAAAGAAACAAGTATGGCTATTTTTACTCACTATTTTGTCATGAAAAACTATTATAATTTCAGTTAATGATGGTTTCCTTTTGTATGTCATTCATAGCACTAATTCCCTGCAGCTTATCCCATCAAATATCTGAATGCATGACCAAACTCTTTTTTACTTAGTTCATCATTTTAGAAATTTGTATCCTTTAATAACAATATATTGAAAGCAAATGCTGATATTTTGGCTTTACTGAAATCTTTGTCAAATCAATTGTTCTATTGAATGAATTCACCAATATTATTTTTATATCATAAGATCACAATTTTTAAAATAATGTTCTTTAACCTTATTTCATTCCAATATGTTTATAATTAATTTTTAAAACACATTTTCTTGTCTTCTAGTTAAATCACTGTTAAATTCTTTGTAAACATCTAAGACCAAGTAAGCATTAGAAAGGTTAGGGAAATTAGTCAATTAAAATTAATGTCCTATTACTTATTGTTAAAAATAATTACTTTGGCTCAAATTATAGGTTATTGCTTGAACTGAATATATGACAATTTTGAAAATAATATTTCATAAAATTTCCAATTTTATTTTTATTTTGCATCTTTTTTCCTAACCAGACTCATTCTAAAGCAAATATAATAATAAGAATTTGATCATTATATAGAATAAAGCTTGTATTATAATTTATTGGTTAAAGTTGTAAAGCCCTGGACATTTTAGGTTTAGGGGTTTTTGAACATGAAACTAAACTTAAAAATTTTTATTCATATATGTCAGGAGTACATGATATTTGCATTCATCTTAAGGAGTTTATTCAATGATGGAACATATTTTGATGCTTTTTACTCCTGTAGACAAATTTCATTTATTCTTGAGGATACTTAGAATCACTCATTCATTTCTAAGCTTCATTCTCTTGTGTATCTTTGCATTTCAAATATCATAAAAGCATAAAATGGGAAAGTATGACTGTGCACACACAGAAATAAGACGCATTGTGTGTGCATGTGAGTGAGACAAGTTCTGTATGCTCACTGTAATCTAATTCACTTGCACTTCTAAGGATGATTGAGTTATAACAATTATTATGCTTTGGATTTGTTAAGTGTATTAGTATAACACATTTTTACAGATATTTAATCATTCCATCCAAATAAATCTATGTGGGAGGTGATTGCTTCAGTGGATTCAACTGGCTGTTAATTGAGTTTAACCAAATTTTTAGTCATTGACCTGTTAAATTCAATAATCCCAGAGCAAGATAATGAATTATTCATTTCATGAATATATAATATAAATTTTTCCTGGTGTTGGCTTAGTTTCAAAATTTACATTTCTTAAATTCATTTCTTTTGAAAAAGTTTTCATAACTATTTGTTAAATTATTTACAGAAAAAAAGTAATGTGATGTGCAAATTGTTGACGCTACATTTACTTGATCTTATAGGTTTAAATTTAGAGCCACAAATGTTATGGGACAATTTACCGACTCTGATTATTCTGACCCTATTAAGACTTTAGGTAAGACAGATTTTGTAAATTATTTTAATCTATAATCTCAACATATTTATATAGCTGTAACATTTATTAAATATTTAGTATAATGTTTAATATATCTATCTAATCCTATGACTGGGTATTTTTAAGTACAAATTCGTTTTAGGATTAATTAACTAAGGAAAATAGTATGTTTAATTTTCTTCTAAAGTTTGGATAGTTCTTCAGCTGAAATTTGAATATGGATTTTGTTAGATACAGCTTCTTTTCTGGCATCTGATCACATTATCCTAGATACTTAGTTTTTAATATATAGTTTTATAATAAATCATTGTTACACAATAAAAAAGAAAGAAGATTACGGAAATTTTCTCTTTTATAATTTTAAAAGCTAGAAGCTTGTAAGTCCTATTTATTATAGTGATATTCTTACTTTCTACTCTTGTACAAGTGTCTTAATTATATCCACATAAATTAAGTCTCAATAAAACACAAATGTAATTTAGTCACATATATAGTATATATTTATAAAATATATACTGTATGTATATAGTCACCACCACCATTGTCATTATAATCATATCTAACATTAAATATTTTGTGACAGACACAAATCTAGCTTTTTCTCATATATTAACTGTCTTTACAACTGTTCTTTACAACTGTCTTTACAACTGTTCTTTAATCTGGGCCAGTGTTTCTCAACTGGTCTGACTCCTGTTTCTATGGCAATACTTGAGAGTGTCTGGAGCCATATTTTGTTGTCATACCTGAGGGATGGTGGTGGTGGTGGCGTATACCTCTGGCATGTAGCAGGCAAAGGTTGCAATGCTGGTGAGTTCCTACAGTGTAGCAGACAACCCTCCTGCTAATACTGCTGAGAACGAGAGACTCTGAATTAAGAGCTATTGTTTGCAGCATTTTGTAGGTGAGGACATCAGGCTCACAGTGTTTAAGTAGTTAAATACCTGGTGCAAGAATCCAGCATCACATCAAAGGAATCCCAAACCACTACAATATAAATATAAGACTGAGATATAGATTCAAACCTTGGCTCTGCTACTGAAAAACAAATAATATCTGTCATCTTAAGTATTTGAAAAACCGAAATGACAGTATTTTCTCTGAAGGACTGTTGAAAGGCTTAGATAAAATGCCAATATGTAAATGTATTAATAATTTTTACTTAGCAAATTTTAATTGCTTTATAGCTTCTAGTAGATGGATTTTATTCAAATATTTTAGAAGTATTCTTATTTTTGAGAAATTATTTTTCTAGACTGCATCAAGAGGATAACAACTTCCTATTTCTTCTGCACCAACCCCTTCAACCCCTAATATATATATTAGCTTAAGCAACGAAGAAAATAGTGCATTTCTGAATATCACCTAAAGATGGAAGATTGCGGTGTTGCTTAGGTTCTAGTGTGCTGTTTTTCATTACACCATGAGACGTAATAGATTTGACTGCAGAAAGAGTATTCTACCATTTTCAGGCAGAAATTCTATCAGTTTGTGAAAATATTAACTTAAAAAAACAAGTGACTTCTCAACAGGGAAAGCGCAGCAGCCTCTAAACAGAGAAACTGCTACTTCGAACAGTAAAGAAGCAGCATGTGGTTTGCTGTACAGATGTTTACAGAGGAATAAAATTAATTAATTTGGCTAAACTAATTTCATAACATCATTGGGTTGATTAATTTTTCCAATAACTTAATCATTTTAAAGTTAGTTCACTAGATTTGTAATTTTGCTGAGTATTTCTTGTTAGGTGAGTGTACACAGTAATTCTACACAGTGAAATAAATATCTGTAGGCTTAAGCATCCAGGAGCTATTACTTCAGCTAATAGTGACCCAGTGCCGTTTTTAGTAGAAGATAAGAAACACAAAACAGATGGATAACGACTGTGTCATAGGGAGATAGTACTTCATCGTAGCAGTGCTGAAAGGGACTAGACTTGCTGCGTGGGTATCATGTGCTTCGTTTTTCTTAAACTTGCTCTTCCATACAGATTATCAATGGAAGGAAATGCTTAGACCACTTATCTGAGATTTAAAGTTGAGACGTTCAGGGTAACAGAGAGACAAGAATCAGGTACCATGGTGTCCTGGTACATGCATCCTTAGAGTCTGTCAGATTGCATCCCTGTGGCCAATGACAGGCTTTATAAAAACACTGTAATCTCTTCAGCAGTGGCCTCTTTCTTTCCTCCACTCACAGCCAGGGAGTAGAATAAGATACACAATTCTACAAGTGAGCGAGATACACAATCACTTCTCCGGTTCCTACCTTGGAATCATAACCACTACTATCTCAGTTGTCCGGGTAACAAAGAAGTCTAGAGTATACAGGAGATGTGGAATGTGGTACAAAGCACGAAAACCTGTGAAGGTTAGAGACACAGAGACTGAAGGACTGGGAACGGGACACAGCAGGTAGGAAGCCACTGAGCTGGTGAGGCAGACACAGGGAGGTTGCCACATATCTACTGTCAAATTTCTCAGAGCTCAGTATGTTATTTGTAGGCCAATGATATGTGTATAACCTTTGGGGTCACTTTTTCTACTGGCCTTCTCAGGCCTTTTTTCCTGATAGACAGCAGCTCTGAGACTGGAGTTCAGTCTTTAACATTTACATAACTAGTAAAACAGTGACAAATGGGAGAGAAGATATTTGTAAGAGCTGTAATGTGAAAATAATTCTTGGCAAAAGAGCATCATCACAAAAGACAAAGGTTAAATAGTCAGAAAGGAAACAAAATAGATCATTTCTACAATGAGCAGAAATCTATTACAAGAATTTCATAGCTATGAGAATGGGGACAAACAAAAAATAAAGTGATGTGATACATCCAGTGTCATCAGAAGGTGATGCAGGGTCGTTAAGTCTTTTAAATATGTCATGTGTTAACATAGGTTGCATCAGTTCCAGTACATTAGTGGGTCCTAGCATTCCTTGGCAGGCCACAGAAGACTTAAGTACACATGTAATCTTCGTCTTCAGCCGGAGAAGTCTTGAATTCTGTCTTGGTGATCCAACCCCTAGTGAACAGCAGTCATTCACTGATAGTTTTGCACACCACTAGTAACAAGTTCCAAGCTGAGTTGCTTGTCAGTTAAACTTTGGGACTTAAAAGTTTTGACAAGACTGTGTTTGTGCAGAAGATTTTGGTGATAGTAATGCCTCTCAGAAATGCCATTATGTAGGATTAAAGTAGGGATAACAGAACCACCAGACTTAAAAAGTTTTGTGTTCAGTGAAAGGGACCAACTAAAGTGAGAAGGGGACATGCAGGACTTTGCTAGATAGGATGTGTCTGTAAAAGACAAGTTTGCACTTACAGAAATTTGTATGACCTGTAGGAATATATAGGGGAAGTGACAGAGGTGTCATTTTAATCCTAAAATGTACTTAAAATTTACTTGATTTTGTTTTCACTTAAGACTGAACATTAGCATTTTATTAACATAATTTGTAAGAAACTCTCTTAACCCCCCCCCACCTTTTAAAATTCTCTTTAGGCACATCAGTTTATAGAAACTGATTATAGGCAGTGTTTTGATTACAAGACTTAATTAAAGAGGATTCCTGTGATTTGAAAACCAGACACCCCTTTCTGCACCTTACAGGGCTCTCAGCTGAAAAAGATAAAACTAAACTCCATGGTGAAGGCACTCTGCGATTGTTTTCTTTTGTTATAACACTCCTCATTTAACTACTGTGCTAACAATGAAATGTTTCAGTAATATACACTTAGAAAAAGTGACTTGCTCTGTATCATTAATGGCCAAAGGGATCACTTTCTCCAAGGCACCAAAGGAGAGGCAAGTTTTGGATTTTTAATAAGACAGTGGTGATGCAGTGGAGGACCTCACAACCCCGTAGTCAGACAGACATATTTCAGGCAGTTTAGTATATATTGAATTGATGTGACTTTCAATTAGTTACTTAACAAATTCTTTAAGTTTTGAAATATTATTTATAAAATGAGAATATAAATACATACCCTATAAGCTAATAGAAATTCATTCAGATGCATGAGTGAATGCATTAATGTAAAATATGTAAACATAACTGACATTGTGTATGTTCCAAACCTTCTAAGTGATTTTACATATACTTACATATTCTTCAACATAACTTTATAATATGACTTCTGTTTCATATATAGTCTCGATTTGTAAGTAAGAAATTTGAAGTATTAAGTTCTTAAACAATTTGCCCAAGGTTTTAATCATGGCAAAGGTGATGGCAGCAGCAGCCTGCAGTCCCAGGAAACATGAATCCAATCAGTGCTGTCATAACCGTTCTGTCAGTGTCTGAGAATGACTGAGTAACAGGTAGCTTCCAGTTGCATTATTGTTAGTGATGTCTGTGTTCCAACAGGCTTCCTATCCTTCCTAAATCATGATCTCTTCTCAATATTTTTATTATTTCTAGTTTCTTTTTTTCCTTATCTCATTGTCTTGGCTTTTTGAGATTAACATTCACAAATTTAGTATGCGTTGCTTTACATACAGATTTGGTGATTTCTTTTTATTTTTTAAGAAATGGAGAAGGGTGATTTTTTCCTATGCTTGGTCAATATGGTTCAGGATCTCCTTTTAGAATTTTGCCAATTTGAAATAAAATAACATCCCCCCTCATTAGGCATTTTAGTTTATATTTCTTTCAATTTTTTGGTAGTGTAAATTCGGATTTTTTACTGAATATTATATTCATATATTTTAGGAGGTCTAAAAGTAATGCTGTGCTATATACATATATAATATAGAATGACTGAATGGAATAATAACATATTGCCTCAGACACTGATGCCTTCCTCCTGTCTAAATATGTTTCATGAGTTATGAAATTCAATAACATTTAGTAAATTCTTTGTTCAGTGTTGAGTGTCTCAGATGACTACCATTAGGCCAAAAGGGGAAGAAAGTTCTCCCAGTGTGTTTCTTCTAAGAACATTTTTTAAAAAATAATTAAAAACCTTTCACCTTATGGGCACCCATATGAAAAGGACTAGGAGCTTTCTATCTCTCATTTAGTTTAAGGTTCTTCTTATAGATATTTCTAAAGCTTAAAGTTGGACCTATATTCTGAATTTAAAAAGGATAATTTTAGTCAGAAAATAAAGCATACGAAAAATTACAGACCCCTAATTACGAGTGGCTCAATTATAGTAGTACAATGCATTATGCAAGTAGTTTAATTTGCTCTGTCACGGGATTTTAAATCTAGTCAGGAAATGACTTGCACATGTTATAGAAAAAATCAAGTAAAAGAATTCCATTTTCTGTAAAAGGATGTGGAGATGTGAGCTCATTCTGTGCTGTAATACACTGTGGCTCTATGCATAACAGTGAATCAGCAAGCGTAACTGACAATCAGGGTACATTTTGTACACTCCTAGTGACACCTTTGTAATACATGTGCCCAGAGGATTACATATCATTTGTTAATATACTGTATGTCATTTCCTCACTTAGCCAGTGCTTTGAAATGGTAATCTAATCTACAATAGTTTTTGTGGTCTATGAAACATTTTTCTGACTGATTTCTAATGCCCAATGATGCAATGTAACATAAAGTTGATTCTTTATTCATCTTCATGCTTCCATTCTAAAGGGTATAAAATTAGAGTTATATGTAAAATTTGGCAAAAAATAATCCATTCATATTCTGATGTATAAAAAAGGCATCGGTATAATACTTATGAGACAACATGTTGCTACAGCATCATTTAAATTTAGCTGGAGATCCTAGGGACGATAAAGGTGTGATAACTATTTAAAATTCAGTACTTATTCATGTCTGTCATGAAGAATAGCCACAGGAAGGCTAACATATTGGCACTATTTCATAAGAGAAGAAAGATGAAATATTAATCTGTGTGATTTATAGATAATCTATTTTCTCATTGAACTGAAACACTCACTTTAGTAAAATTATAAATCATGTACCTTAAAATTGCTTATGATGATAATCAGTAGTTGTGCCTAAGATCAATGTTTAATTTTTATATCTATGTTCAATGTCTGACCTTCATCCTGAAAATTTTAATAAATATTTCAAAATCAAAGTATTTGTTCATTAGCAAATTAGACAAATATTTATGGAGCATTAAGTGTGTGCCCCTTACTGCAGTCAGAACTTGGAAGAGTTTTGAATCAATATCTTTGGCAAATGTACATCCTAGACAGAAAAACATAATAAACAATAAGAATAATATGCAAGTGAATTTTAATACATTTTAAAAGATGATAAAGATATGTAGAAAAAAGAAAAAGTACAAGGGTTATGAAAAGAGAAAGTATAAGGAGTTTTGGTTCACATTTAGCTGGGGTGATGTCTGCTCAGGCTGCCACTACAAAATACCATAAACCGAATATTTTAAACAACAGAAGCCACAGAAGTTCACTTTGCCGCAGTGTGGCATCTAAGATGAAGACTGTCGCCCATTTGAAGCCTCTGCGGTGAAGTGCTTCTTTCTGGTTGCTTTCCTGTTGTGTCTTCAGAGGCCTTTCTTTGGTGCATGTGTAATGATAAAGACAGTGGGAGAAGTAAGAAGGAAGGAAAAGAGAGAAAGAGGGGAGGAGAAGGAAAAGGAAGAAAGGATAGAAAGATGCAGAGGTGTCTTTTTGTGTCTCTATATAACGCCACTTATCCAGTAAGAAGATCTAATGAGTCCTGTGACCTCCTTTAACTTTTAATTTCCTGCTTTTCCAAATGCAGCCACTCTGGAAGTTAGGACTTTAACATATCAATTTTGTCAGGACACGTGTATTCAGCCCATGACAGGTGGTCACTGAGAATGCATATTTGAGCGTACCCTTGTTGGAAATGAAATAGCTAACCAGGCAAATTCAAAATGGCTTTACTTCTCAGCGCAGAGGAACAAGGTGCTGCAGAAGCCCCATAACATAAGAATCCTGGTGTGACGCCTCAGTAAGGAAGCTGGCCTGGCCCAGAGGAGTGAGGGAGGCAGGAATGAAAGAGGTGTCAGAGAGGTAACTGGGGACTGAGCTAATAAGGGTCCGGATCACACAAGGCATTGGGAGGACTTAGGCTTTCCTCCGTAAGCAATGAGGAAAATTTTCAGCAGAGAGGTAATGTTTTACAAAAAATTACCACTGATGCTGTTTTGAAAATAGATGGTTGAGGACAAAGGGAGGTGGAGATTCAGGGAGTTTTGTTAGGAATCCATAGAGTAATTCAACAGGATGAGAGGAGACCTGGTCACAGTGCTAGAAGCAGAGGTGTAGGGAGAGAGTGGAACATAACTCAAACTAAAAAGAATGGAACATCGTGACCCTTTCATGCCTATTAACAAGATGTTTGTAATGATACTTTGCCATTTACTTTATTTTTTATTCATTCACTTATTTCTAAGGTATTTCATAATGACTCATAGGCAGTATTATATCTCACCCTTAAATGTTTAGTATGTCTCTTTAATAAATACATTTTATTGTATTTCCAAGGTTAAAATCAACAATAAATCCTGTGTATTTTAATACTATATACATTTCCAAATTATCTTTGACTTTGTTATTCATCATTTTTAAAAATCAGGATACAGCTGAGATCGTCCTTTATTTTTGCGTATATCTCTTCAGATTCTTTTAATGTCAAGGACTTTTTTTCTCTTTATCTAGTTCCCTCCACGACATAGGCTCATTGAAGTAGCCAAAGGAATGATCTTGTAAGAGTCCTCATATTTCAGATGGACATGATTGCTTTCTCTTGGTGCCGTATCATTTTATTTTATACTTTCTTTCTCTTTCTTGTAACAATATCTAAACTAGAAACAAAACCTAAAATCTGAATATTCATGATTCACGTTTCTATTGGGGAGCCTTTACAGATGTTGATGCTTACAACACAATTTTCCCTATCAGAAAATATGTAATATTTGTTTGTTATAATTGTTGCTGAAACTGACCAGTAATTGATAACACTGTGATTCTTCATTAGGAAGTTGTTTGCTCCTACTTATTACCAGCAAATAATCTGTAAGGTGATATTCTAACAGCCTGTTAATGTTCAATTCCCTGTCAAACTTCCTCTTGATCACTGTAAAATATGCTTATAATTATTACCTGAATCAACTACTTCATTAGGAATCTGAAATTATTAACTTCTTAATTTTATTTTTTCTACATTTATTAAAGAGAACTATAATAATTTTTTAATATTTAACTAGGGCTATTTGAAAAATCTATACCTTAGTTCGTGTGGAAAAGGCACAAAGTTATAATTTTTAATTATAATGTAAAAGTATTTAGCATAGGGAAATGATGTAGGTAAATCTATTGCTGTAAGTTCATTTTTTTGTTTATTTCATTACATTATATTAAAGCTCATGAATTTTTAAATATATGCAATCTATTTCAATCTGTTTCAGTTTTTATTTATTAAAATGCTTAAATTACTCCATCAAATTAGTTGGAGTCCCTTAAAGATGATCTCTTGTTCTTTTCATGCCATTAGCCCTTGTTAATTTCCTAGCTTTCAAGTAGCTGTGTTTTGAATTCACTTTACTCTTTATTCCACTGATGTCTTTCCAAAGGTCCCTGGTTTTATTCAGTAAAAACTATATTTAAAAAAATTCTTTGAAAAAAAGAGAATCAAATTTGACTCTTAGGTTTTGACTAGAGCAATTGGAATTGTGGAATTTCTATCAACTGAAATGTGGAAAAATGTAGTTGAAAAGAGGAGAGTGTGGGAGCTCAGCTTGGGACACACTGATTTTGAAATTTCAATTACATTCTACATAAATATGTCAATTATTCAAAGTACATAGTTGAACATACAAGTCTGAGATCTAACAGATAAAATTAAGTACCCATCATCATATAGATGAAAGTTAGAAACATGATGTCTTACAAAAGTATGAGTTCAGATACAGAAATGAAACAGGCTAAGCACTGAGTCCCAAAATTAAAAGATCTAAAAGAGAAGTAAACAAGTTTTTACATTTTAGGATTCTTGAGCATTCTGGAGCAATCTGCCAAGAAAATATTGTTGTGGTTAGAGGCCCAAGATAGCATTCCATGATAACATTTTTAATGATAATGTCACCCCTCTTTTCTAGGTGAAGGACTTTCAGAAAGAACTGTAGAGATCATTCTTTCAGTCACTTTGTGTATCCTTTCAATAATTCTTCTTGGAACAGCTATTTTTGCCTTTGCAAGGTACGATTTATTTGTACTCACAACATTCCCAACATACTTCCCTGACATTTATACCAGTCACAGTCCAGTCAGGGAACAGAAGCCATAGATATAATCAGAAACACTATTTTTCTTAAATTGAAAGAAATATTTATCCTGTGCCATATGATGTTTTTAAATATGCAAACTGTAGGTTGACTAAAATAATCATAAAGAAGGGAATCTTGCAGTTTGATGGGAAACATTTAGAATAATTAACTAAACAAATTTGTTAACTTCTATAGGAGGTTAAAGAAAAGTTTAAGAAGTCTGGACATATCTTAGTCTCTCAAACTGTGTTTTCATCTCTTCTGCCTCAGTCTTAAGACAAATTACCTGACAAAATTAAAAGAGGAAAGGTCTTTTTAGCTTACAGTTTGTAGAGGTTTCACTCCATAATCACCTGACTCCAAGGCATGGTGGTACATGGAAGAAAGGCAACCATTTATGACGGTAGAAGACAGCAAAGGCAAGAAGGACAGAGAGGGAGACATGCCTCTTTCTGTCCATTATATTGAATCCAGTCTTCCAGGATAGGACAGAGTCAATGCAGTTAGTGGATTGATCCAGCAATTACCTATCCTTAATTCCAGCATCCTTAATCCTAGTATTGCTCACCCCAGATTCAGATACTTCTGAAAATTCCTTTGACCACACAAGAGTTTGAAGCACATCCAGACACAAACCATATCATTTCATCCCTGTCCCCCCAAAGATTCATGCATATCCCTTTATGCAAAAGACATTTAGTCCTTCTCCAAGAGTTGCCAAAATTCCAACAGTTTCAACATTGCTGACAAGCCCAAGTCCCAAATCACCTCTGAGATTTAAGGCATACTTCTAGCTATTAGCCCCTCTATAATTGAAAAGAAAGTTAAACACTTCTAATATTCAATGGCACAAAATAGACATTTCCATTCCAAAAGTTTCAAATAGGGATACAAAGGAATGGGACCAAACCAAGTCCAACATCCAGCAGGGCAAACACTGAGTCCCATAGTACCATGTGCAGCATCGGAGGCAATCTGTGGAAAGATACAAATGCCCAAGGGATCAGGTGGCTCCTTAGAGCACTCCTGGTGATTGAAGCTCCTGTGACTTTTTTTCCTTGGGACAGCTTTGCTGCCTCCTTGCAATTTTCCTCAAATGTTAGCAATCTGAGGAATTCAATTCAGTTCTGAGGAAGAAAATTCTCCATATTGCTACCATTCTGGAACATGGTGCTCTGGGTCTTTCTTCTCAAAGCAGTCTTTCATTTTTACAGTTTTGAAGCTGCAAAATGCAGAGTCTCACTGCTTCTTGTGAAGCCATCAGGCCATCTTTTCTATTTTACTATTCCTTCTCAGCAAGGAATTCAAGATCTCCTCTTCTGTTTTCAGTCCACAGCTTTACTAGATTCATTTATGGCCAAACTCACAATGCTGTAAATCATTCTTCTAGGCTTTTTGCTCTTGGTTCTCAACATAGATTTGGCTAAAAGCTCCCAACAACAGCCATGCCACTATCTTGACATCTCACTGCCTTGAAGTTTCTTCTGCTAGTTAGTATTCTGCCTTTAATATCAGTTGTAGGCAAAGTTGCTGGACATGAGCAAAATACAGACTAACTTTCTACCAATCCCTAACAAACATCATCAATAATGCAGCAGCCAAAGCAGTTTTTCTCCCTGCAGGAACCTGAGCCTAGTCTTATTGTTTTCTGGTCTTTTGAGCTGACTAGAACCTAGTACAGCCTAAGACTTTCCAGGGTTGCTGTTTCTCAGCTGGCCTCTCCAAACCTTTCCAGACTCTTCCCACAAGCCAGTTCCAAAGGCCTCTAAACCAGATGATCAGGTATAGTCATAGCAATGACTCCCCTTCTCTAGTACCAAATTCTGTTATATTTTTTACTCATTTCTGGAACAAAAATACCTGGCACCCAAAGTTAAAAGAGAAAAGGTTTGTCTGGCTCAGTTTGTAAAGATTTCAGTATATAATTGACTGGCTCCAAAAACAGGTGGCTTGGTTCATGGTGCCTACAAGGCAGTGAAAGCAACAAGAAAAAAGAGATGATCCTCTTTCATCCAGTCTTTTGGAATTATGGCGATGCCAATACAATCAGTGGACTGATCCAACAAGAACCCACTCTTAATCCCAGTATCCTTAATCCTAGCATTGAACACTCTAGATTCCACTACCTCTAAAAATATCCTTTGACCACATAAGGCATTGAGGGACACCCAGACACCGTAACAGAAAGTATCAAGTGCCACAAGGCGGCTACTCTTTTTAGAGTGAGGGAGAAAGGACAATAAAGGGACTAATAACTAGAGGAAGTGCCCTCTCAAGGATGCCATGGAATGACTACCTCAATCATGTGCAGCATAGCACCTGGTAGTGGGTAAAGAGACATGACAGAGGAAAGGAAGCTGTTTTGCTGAAGACATTTGTTATCAGAGGGAGGGTAGGCAGACTGAGAATGGCTGTAGAAATGTCTCATTCTTGGTGAACAGTGTGGGTAGGCTGGAGATTCTTGGAATCATTCACCAATGGAATGAGGAGAGTGTGCACTTAAGAGGCAGCAAGAGCACCTCTGTATGGGCTACTGAGCTCCCACAAGAAAAATAATGATGCAGAGTTGGCCTCATCACGTGGCAGCAAATCCTGGTCTCTGTTGCCTTGCAAGGTTATTCTAGTGCCCCCTTTTGCCAAAGCTTAGCGTTTGGCTGACTGGTGAAAGAAAATTATCCATTATCACAGAGCAGGCCAAAAAGAGTAGATTGGGGTTGGGAGACAGCAAATTAGTAGCACACACACGTACTTACCAGAATCTGCCAGGCCTTCTCAATATTTTTAAATTATCTATAAATCTGATATGTTTAATTGAAAATATAATACAATCTAAAAGTCAAAGTTTATAAGAAGATATAATTTTTATAGCGAGGACAAACCTTTCAAAAGGCCCAGCATCCTTGTATGGTTGACCCCTTCTCATTGTTGCTCTACAAACTCCTCTGTTCTGAGTTCCTGCAGTGTCCTTCCATACTCAGAGGATCAACTTTTTCATTCCCTCTTTGTCTAAAGGGTATCAGTGGAAATCTTGCCCATGAGCCCAAAAAACTTCAGTTTTATAAGATAGCTTGCTAAGATAATGGGATTTTACATTTGCAAAATCAACTGTACTCATTTCCTAAATAGTCCAATGGACTTTTAAAATTTTAACTGAAGAATGTTGTCTTGTGTTCTAAATGTCATTCACACTGTCTGTTTTATCTTGAATTTCTTAAATTACTTTCATAAATAATTGAAAGTCCCTTAAAAATGATATTTTCTTAATGTCGCCTATTATTCATAGATTGAGGCAAAGGGATGGTGAGAAAAAGGTCATTATTCCAGGCACTACACATATTGTGTGAGATACAGACCATGTCCTGAAGGAGTGCACATCCGCCATATTCTATTGTTTTCTTGCTCCAAAATTGTCCTTGATTTCTCATTTCTGTCCTTTAAGTAGGCAGGAATTGGTCCCTTTATTCCCTGCATCTTCCCTATACTTTTCTTCTCAGCCAAAGGATTCTGTTTTCATTTGAATATTTTTAGGCTTTTACATAACTTTCCTTTTGTCCAGTGAACCTGAAATGGGCTTTCACTTTTTTGTCACTCTGAATTACTCAGTATAAATTCTACTTAACTTTTTCTAAAAACTAACAAGAGTAACGACCTATATACCATTTTATAATTAATCAGTGCTATGTTTTGAGTTGCAGTTTGAGTATTTTTCCTTTTTCTACATTTAGAAACTATCTCTAAATTTTAGGTGTTGAAAATAGGAACCTTATTTTATGCTTTCCATATCACCTTCAATATTTAGCTCATAATAAACAGTGAATATTTGGAATGTGAATGATAACACAGCTAATTATAACCTTGTGATATGCCATACTATGCCATGGAGCAATAGGGATGTATGGGCTTATAATGAAAAGGCTGTAGATTCATTCATAGACTCATGTGTCTTTCTGTTCTGAACCTTGTTTTTCTAATTGTAAACAAAGATAATAGTATGTACTTCTCAATATCTTCATAAAAACTCAATCACACAGTTAAAACTACTTTTGTGTATTTGTGTACATGTAAAAATGTTTCTGTGTATGAACCAATGCATTGTTTCAGCACAAGCATCATTTCTCTTTGGTATGTTTCCTTTCTATGACAAACCATTGTGACATTTGGAGGGAGGAGAAACAGGCCAACGCCTCAATTTTACTGACTCTATTTTAAATGTTCCATTTGCTCAGCCCTCGATCAATTAAACCTCATTAAATTTGGGGCATCAATCATCTTGTTTAAAAAAGATATTTGAGTAAGGTCCATGAAATTAAAACAGATAAAAGAAACAGAACACCAATAAAATTACCACATATTGAAAAATGCTAACAGCAAAGAATTTATTTGACTAAGTGTATTTACTTGAAAGAAAAGTAAACCTGCAGTTATATGTTTTCTGTGACATTCCTTTCTTGGGCTTCAACTGCCCTTGGTTTAGAATTCGACAGAAGCAGAAAGAAGGTGGTACATACTCTCCTCGGGATGCAGAAACAATTGATACTAAATTCAAGCTGGATCAGCTCATCACAATGGCGGACCTGGAGCTGAAGGATGAGAGATTAACGCGGTGAGCACACTCCTTTGGGCGAACAGTGGTCCACAGGGCCCAGAGCCATGACCCTGTCCTGACCTGTGCTTGTTGGAAGTGTTTGTGGGGCTCCAGTTTACACAGGTCACAGGGATCTTCTTTCAAAGGGTGACCTCCGTCTCCTGCCTATTTCTTGCTGGTGTTCAGAGAATCACTTAATCTTCCTAATATTTTGAGTTCAGTATGATCCTGGGACTGTAATGTTCAGCTAAGATTTTTTTCCTGAGACAAATATTTTTACACATTAAACCTTTAATACTTTAATAATTCATTTCATAGATTTAATGATAGATTCCTTGCACATCAAAGTTTTTTCTAGAAGTGTCCACAGTTGTCACTTTAATTTAATTACATTTATAACATTTTAGTTCATTATTTTAATATGAAATATATGAAATTCTAAACTGTATGTTAGATTTTCATTTCTAAAATTGCTTAGTATTTAAAAACTAAGCACAAGGTAAAATTTTACCTTTAAAAAAGAAGTATAATTGTGTAATAATCATTTCATTGGTATGTATTAGAAATAGTAAAGTGCTTAGTTTTGAATAAAAATTCTTTTAAATTTTTTTAAAAGTATTATAAATTTTCAAAATGTTTGTATATTTTAACACTTGACTGTTAAGATAATCCATCATATTCCTAATAAAATCTATTAGCAGGCTGTCCTGAAAGTTTATGTTCTTTATACTTTTTTTGTCTTTTTCGTTTTTATCGGTACCAGGGATCGAACTCACGACTGTCTGCTTGCAAGGCAGGCGCTTATGCCGCGGAGCTAAATGAAAGTTTATGTTCTTATAAGATCCAATAATATGAGATGCTTATAAGTACAATTAAAAAGCATTTCATAGCTCTCTCATTTTGAAATTACTGTGTTTTTAAAAATAGGGCATTAAACATATAGACCATTAAAAATAATTCATCATTTGTAGTTTTCATTTGTCACAGTTGGTCTTCTCCTAATATGTTGACTTGTACGTATATTTCAGGCATGTCTAAAAATATCTAATATGTGCTATAGTGGGAAGTAACTCCTAAGGATCAGTGTCCTTCCAGAAGTTATGAAATGATTATTTAGCATTACCACTGAATTGCAGGAAATTTTGTTCTTAGGATATGAAAACTTACTTTTTAAACATTTGGATTTTGGTCTTAGTTTACATTCTAGTTGTTTGTTCCCTTCCATAAATATGCAGTGTTGCAAAGACTTCAGTATAAGGTGATTGTATGTTACTTAGGACATAGTTTTCACATAAGAAAAACTACATATAAAAGGTCAATAGATTACTAGTATAATCACCAAAGCCAAATCATCTCCTAGGAACACCAGAATATCAGTAGTACTAGGCTCTGTCCTGGTCCTCAATAGATCACACTTTTCTTCCCATAAAAGGCCAAACTGAATTTCAGAAATTCCTTCATTTTTCACTTTCTGTGTACATTTTTCAATTATTTGTGATGCCTTCACAAACCGGGACACCCAGTTTCTTTCTTGTTACTTGTACACTTGAAAGTATACAGGAATAATTTTGGCTCTCTCTGTGCAATTAATTTTAGCTACTTGAAAAATTCAGTTGACTCTGTAATAAAAATATGAACGTCAAGAATCTCATATCACTTGTAAAGCATTTTCATTTTTTCAAAAAAGAATCATTATTAACCCCCCTCCAAGTTCATATAAATAAATCTTAAGGAAATACTAACAAAGTGAAAAAAACATTATGGAGAAAGTTTTTCATTCATAATAAACCAATTACTATTCTAGGCTTAGAACCTCAGTCATGAGGTTCATTTTCCTCATTATGTGTTTTTACATCTTGCCCATCTTCCACTTGTGATCACTGAGTAGTCATTAGGAAAAAATCACAAAGTTTTGGTTTTAAGTTTTACAATGATTATCGTAGTAGCTATGAAGAAGTTTTGGGTCATGGAAATGTGCACAGGGATTGCAGATTGTTTATTATAGCACATTTATAATCCAAGGGCTATCCTTGACTCCTTAGTATTAATTTTCCTGATTCTATCTTTATTTATATATTGTTATTTGTAAAATGCTGCAGAAGGAAAATAAATTTTGAATGTTTTCATTTTTCACTCCATAGAAAATCGGTATTTATTACACCCATAGCCAAATTGAAAGTATCCATTTCTGAAAGTGTCCATTTTTTCATTTGTTTATTATGATACAAAATACGTTTGTAGTACCAATGTTACATAATAATATGCTCTGCTCGATTTATTATAAAAGTTTTATTAAAATAAGAACTACAAGGTTTGAGTATTAACTTTATTACAAAAATACATGATTTTTCATGTCACTTGATGACAGACTAAGAAAAAATCATAGCTGAAAATAATAAGCTACATGCACACATGCGTAAGTTCTGTCCATCAATAGAGCTTTCCAAGTCTTTATTGTTCTTAAAGATCTAAATCTCTACAAAGTCAAATGGTAGATTTCAGAAGTGAAGAATTCAAGTTAGGTCTCTATGTAGTTTAGCATCTTATTCTGTGTCTTCATTGTCTTCAAGGAAAATCCTAGTTTTCTTTTAATCTACCCACCTACCATATGTGTAGCAATTTTGATTTGAATTTTACGTATGTCCTTTTTCTTCCAGTCTACCAAACTTTTCATAGTAAAGTGAGTTCGTAATTTTTCTTAGTGTCACATGTGTTTGTGTGGCCAAAAGAGAAATGATAAGAAAAAACATGTAGTCAATAATTAAAATACTAATGTTAGAGTGTTAGTGACAAAAAAAAAATAGAGTTTGGTAGTAATCTTTTTTAAAGACTTGCAATTTTAAAGTTAACAAATTATTTAACTATTTTATGTTTTCTGCTTTACATTTTAAAGGCCATCCTGAAATTATTGTGTATGTGTAAACTCTTATTATTTAATTATATTCCATCTTTTTTCATGAGGAATTTGAAGATACATTCTCCTTCACTATGCTTTTTCTCCTCAAAGGAGAACCAAAATCAAGTTAGAATTTAGTATTCCTTAATTCCATGAGAACATTTAGGGATATGCTATAATAATGTTTTACATTCTTAATTAGGCGGATGATTACATTATAAAATGCACATTTTATATTATATGCCCATGCAAGCTGTATGCACATTTTATATTATATGCCCATGCAAGCTGTACTTTTTAGAAAAGATATTTAATACTTTTGGGATCATAGATACCACACTAAAAAGACACAGAAATAGTCTTTAGATTTTATTCTCGGATAAACAAAGCACCTTTTGTGATGGCTCCTACAAAAGCCACTTACTTAGACTATTGAGGTAAGGAAGACATCTAGGGTAATTTGTTATTTGTTGGCATGACCAATAGAAAAAAGAGGTAGGATAAAGACCTATATCTTTAAAATCACGAAGCTGACTGATGCTGAAGATTGTCTTTAACTAGTTTGTTTGTAACACAAATTACCTTCCCAAGAGAATTAAACAACCTGGCAGAATTTTCATAAGTTAAAGATTTGCTCTAAAATGTATTATTCATTATTTTCATTTTCATACCTATTAGATACATTTTGTTTTCTCTTATAACTAAATCAGGAAAAAAAAGTAGTTGTGTAATACTAATAGTGACAGAAATTTAATTTCTTTTAGGCTTCTAAAATTTTTCCCAAAAATGTGTGCATATTTTATGTTCATTTACCTGTGTATCTTAATGTAATTGCATATTAAGTTTGAATGTCAAAACCAGAAATCATGAATAGAATTAATGCTTTAAACAAAATGAAATGAACTTTTGAATTATTTGTAAAATTGCTACCTTGAATAGAAACTTTCTTTATGACTTTCCTTTTCCAGTATCTTTAGAAATATGCAAATTGAATTTTTGCTAAATGTATCATGCTTTCGGGAAGTTTGTCACTTGAAAGAATGCATGTGTACTGTCAATTTAAATCAAAATGCATTAGGTATTGTTATTTGTTTTTATGAAAGTTAAAACCATACCAGTTTACTTTTACAAATAGAACTCACTATCATGGGAATTGTTTCTATTATGAGCAACTATTACATCATCACAGTGCATGTAATGATTTCACTTAGCTTATTTAATCCTATGTAGTAGATACTTATGTCCCCAATAGCAGATACTTATGTCCCCAGATATATATATATATATATATATATATATATATATATATATATGTGTGTGTGTGTGTGTGTGTGTGTGTGTGTGTGTATCCTTAAGTGGTTTAAAAATATACGTATGTTTAAATATATATGTTTAATATATATATATATATATATATATATATATATATAAATGTAATCCGTAAATTGTTTAAATATTTGTCCAGGGTCATATATCTAGTAAACAGAAAGTCTAAGATGCTAGTCTAGTGTCTGATTCTAAGGTGTCAGTATGCATCTACAATTATGTATATATATGTACTGTATTTAACTCTAAAGCAAAATAGAGATCAATGAAAACTGTCTCTTAGACAAGGACCATGCTATTCTGTAACAAATTTTTTTCCATGCTGTGAATAATTTTAAGGAAATTTCTGCTTTTGATTAACTTACTGTCTCATGATAGAGGGCAGAGAAAAGATGGCATTACAGTGCAGGATAAATTTGCAGAAACTGGAAAGCCTTTAGTAGTGTAATTCTCATTTTTGTTTCAATAAGAATATTTGACTGATATGTGAAACTCTATGTAAAATAGTTTGTATTTATTTTTCTTGCTGTTTGATAGATTTAGGTCAATTTTTTACTGTCTTAACCTGTCTTTAAAAGCAATGGCAAAAAAAAAGTGAATCTAGAATATAAGAAATAAGGTAAAGTAAAATAAAGATACCTAATATCCATGTTATTGTAGTAACAAATCTAAAATAATGCACTGTTTCAAATACTAAATAAATAATGAATCTTTACTTCCAGATACTCTTCATTTTTCTTTAGACGCAAGGAGATTTTTGTCATCCAGTAAGTTATGTGGTAATGTCGAGCTCTGC